CGTTTCACCATGTTGGCCAGGCTGGTCTCAAATTCCTGACCTCAGGTGATCTGCCCACCTCGGCCTCCCAAAGTGCTGGGATTAAAGGCATGAAGCACCATGCTCAGCCTAGAAGTCCTGATTTATATTAAAACCATTTTTGCTTTTTACCGGGCTGAAGTCCTCAGTCTAATGATGAGATGAAGAATGGAAACTGCTGTACAAGATAATATCTTCTAAATACTACTTGTCTACAGCATACTTACAAATTATCCAAGTGAGCCTGGATAATTTGTAAGTATGCTAACTAGTTCTTCATAGATCACAAAAGCCAGACCTGAGGAGGTCTGGTAGAGAGCAGCCTGCAGGTGCCGGACCCGACCAGGGCCACGTGGTGAGGGCATGGGATTGGGGAACGCTGGCCCCAGCACTCACTGTTTTCAGTCACCTGTGCTTAGATGCTATATATTCCGAGTCTCACAAATTTTAGTTAAACAATGATATGGAGATTCTAGGTCTTGGTGAAGGTAAGAAGATCTCACTGTGCACAGGCAAAAATAATTCTACTAATAATTTTTTTTTTTTTTTTGGAGATAGAGTCTCACTCTATCTCCCAGGCTGGAGTGCAGTGGTGTGATCTCAGCTCAGTGCAACCTCCACCTCCTTGGTTCAAGAGATTCTCCTGCCTCAGCTTGCCGAGTAGCTGGAATTACAGGTGCCCACCACAACACCTGGATAACCTTTGGATTTTTAGCAGAGACAGGGTTCACCATGTTGGTCAGGCTGGTCTCAAACTCCTGATATCAGGTGATACACCTGCCTCGACCTCCCAGTGCTGGGATGCCAGGCGTGAGCCACCGCACCGCACCGGACCTTGTACTAATAATTTCTTCTGAGAGTACATATAATAGAATGGCATGAAAGCTAAAAACAGTAGACATTATTTATCATATTCATATAATTCAAAAACAAGTGTGAAAAACGAAATATTTCATCCAAATCTTTCTTACTTTCTTGAATTGCCACCAGAGCATTACTCATTTCCTCATCTCTCTTTAGACAGAGAGATAGAATCTTACTAGTCGTAAACATCATTGCCAAGCTGGAATAAACCTTATAAGCCAATTCTTCCTTTTCACAAATGAAGCCCTGGAGGCCTGGAGAGGCTGGGGCTGCCCAGGGCCCCACATGAGTAAAGTCTGTGTCCGTCTCTCACCTCAACCTGAGGGAGCTGAAGACACAACACGGTGCGTCAGTCTTCTGTAAATCAATCAAAACACTTTCTGAAACAATACAGTCAGCTGTCACTACTAATCACCAACAAAATTCACAGTTTTGGATGCAGGTTTGTTTTTTTTGAGAGGGAATCTTGCTCCATCTCCTAGCTGGAATGGTGTGGTGCAATCTCACCTCACTGCAGCCTCGCCTCTGGGCTCAAGCAATTCTCCTGCCTCAGCCTCCCGAGTAACTGGGATTACAGGTGCTCCTGCCTCAGCCTCCCAAGTAACTGGGATTACAGGTGTGTGCCACCATGCCTGGCTAATTTTTGTATTTTTTTTTAGCAGAGATGGGGTTTCTTCACGTTGGCCAGGCTGGTCTCGAACTCCTGGACCTCAGGTGATCCACCTGCCTGGGCCTCCCAAAGTGATGGGATTACAGGCGTGAGCCGCTGTGCCTGGCCTGAATGTCGTTTTTAAAATAAGTAAGTCTGCTGACTTTAGCTTCTAAGCATGAACGGTTGTTGGGAGTTACAGCACCCTAGACAACAAAGATGAAAAACCCTCTGAAACTGTTTTAATGCACCTTTGAAATCTTCAGGAACAGCCTTGTCATGACATTTTATAATATCAACTATGAAAGGTATTATGTTACCTCACTGATGAATCATTTCCTTCTCATAAACTATCAGAATAATTAGATTTATGAAAAACTATAATAAAAAATAAAAGCTACCTGTTTCCATTTTCTGCCTGGAAAACGAATGACTGAATAAAGTAAGCAATTTAAGAAAAGCTTCTTGGACACGTAAATGGACCTGAATAGCCTCATGCAACGCGGTCCTAGTTTTTTAAATATGCAAGGGCCAACACAAACCCACATGTCACCAGAAAACGGGAAAACAATCTCAATGTCTTACATAAAATGGAAAAGCAGCTTATGGTGACATGAGCTTTATAAAATAAAACATCCATAAAGCATGTTTCTATTTTTAATTTTTTTGCTTTGATAGATCAATTGCTTCACAAAAATCCTTTTTAAAGACAACAATCCAAGAAAACATATTGTTACAGTATTCACATTTCAAAGATTGTCAGTTTCAAAGACCCAAAATAAAAAGAACAAAAGAAGACTGCTGAGTTCTTTCTGTCTCTAAGTACCAGGAATGGGCCTTGGCAAGGGGCAGAACCCCTGCTGGGTGGCCTGTAGTTTGTCTCAAGGAAAAGTGCCACTGCTTCCTCACGCAGGCAGGAGGCAGATCACTCTCAGGTCACACAGACACGAGTCCTGGATCCCTTAGCCACAGGGTTTCCTTTGCATACTACATCAACACTTCCACTCATCTTACTACCTGGAATCAAAACACAAAGGCCAAGCTAGTCCCTCAGTAGGAGCGTGCAGGGACCTAGCAGAGTTAGCCCCGCGGCTGCTGCCCCACAGGTGCAGGCTAGGAATAACAGCAACATGCTCAATGTGGTCTTAAGACACATTCGAAAGGAGCCTTCATAGGGAAAAATTCAACAAGAATTAAACTGGGGTCAAATCTGATCATTTAAAATGAAATCTTAAGGGGGTCACACTTTTACAGACTCTCTCTGCTGTCCAAGGGTGCCAAATGACCTCAAACATGCCGGGCAGTGATTTTACAAACTGAAATGGCTTGCGTGTAGAAGCTGCTTCAAAGCACCCCGGTTATGCATGGAGAGAGGTTAAAGGAAACTCAGGCTATGCCCATAAGCACCCTCTCTTGAAATCATCTTTATCCCATTCCTCCGAATTTAGTAAGAACTGAGGAAAGTTGAAGGAAGTTTTCAGCTGGAGAGCGTGTACACTGTACCATTCAGCATGAACCTTTAACTCTCAGGCCACAGCTTCCCAGTGCCACCTAGATTCATGCAGTGCCCTTTTTTTTTTATAGACGGGATCTCACTGTATTGCCCAAGATGGAGCACAGTGGCTACTCACAGGTATAAGCAAAATGCACTGCAGCCTCAAACTCCTGGGCACATGCCAGCCTCCGCCTCAGACTCCCGAGTAGCTGGAACTAGAGGCAAGCCCTGCCACGCCAGGCTCGGGCAGTGCTCTTAAATTCAACTCACTGCTCAGCAAATGTGATTTCTGGTAGGGGAAAGAAACAGTGACCTATACATCAGTCTACATTCTGTGACTGGCTTCCACTAATCCACACTAAAGAGCAGGCTGTTGAGGAGACAGAGGGCGGAGAGGGAAGGAGGAAAGGCTGGCTGGCTTTCACGAGTGCTCATTTTAAGAAGTCCAACAAAGTTGGAATTTAAGTTAAAATGATCTTGTAGACCTGACTTAAAATACGAAAAAAATGGTTCACAAACAAGGAATGCAATGGTGGCTTTAAGATGTGATTCCTGGCCAGGCACAGTGGCTCATGCCTATAATCCCAGCACTCTGGAGGCAGAGGGGGGGTGGATCACCTGAGGTTGGGAGTTCGAGACCAGCCTCACCAACATGGAGAAGCGCTGTCTCTACTAAAAATACAAAATTAGTCGGGCGTGGTGGCGCATGCCTGTAATCCCAGCTATTGGGAAGGCTAAGGCAGAAGAATCGCTTGAACCGGGAGGCAGAGATTGCAGTGAGCCGAGATCGCGCCATTGCACTTCAGCCTGGGCAACAAGAGCGAAATTCCATCTCAAAAAAAAAAAGATGTCATTCTCTCCCCAAAAGAACTGATAACCAAGTCTTTCAGTTAAAACTCCTGGAAGATTTTAAAATAAATTTCTGTGTGTTTCCTGCTGACTTCTAAGTTATCTGGAAGTACTCCCCTATGATTAACTTCAATTAATATATTTTTTGGGAAAAATCAGTTCCGGGAAAAAACTCTTCACTAGCTTAAAATGTCCCTTGGCTTACAAACAATCACTACCGCTGAGTCTCAAGAACTGACGATATTCCTGACGTTACAAACGAACGAACTTCAGCCATACCATTTCGGATGATATAAAGGCATTCTGTATGAAATACTGTGGCCTGTTTTCTGTCTGAGAAAAAGCCCCACTCCTAAGTAAACAAATAAAAACAAAACCAAACAAAACAGAACCCAGCCCGCTCTCTCAGTTCATCTCGTTGCCAGGAAACAGAAGGCCTACAGTCATTCCAAATCCCACGTGGTCAAGTGAGCGGGAGGGCTCTGGGAAGTCGGAAGCGACAATGTATGACAAACACTGACAGCAAGCAGGAGACAGCCGCAAACGCAAACGTGAGAGCCAACCCGTGGGGGCCCGCCACTGCGCCCTCGCCAGACCAACCCGCCGCCGTGACTCCAGGGGTGTCTGCAAGTTAAGTAATCAAGTCTGAGTATCTGCTGTTTACCTGAGCTCTGGGCCAGTGGGGCAGAGCACATTTTATATTATCTTACAATAAACATTCTATGCATAACATATTTTGAATTTAAAACTTCTAAAACAATACACAGCTAACATGGTAAAACCACCATGCAACTGTGGTCAGATTTGAATGGAACTGGGGGTTGTGTGGTGACAGCTCCTAGCTCATCACCGGCTACCACTTCACCTCACTTACCTGAAGTCCTATTTAGCAAATACCTTTCGATATATGTTTAGCTCAAGTGTAAAATGCAATCTGAGCATTACATACCAACAAAAATGTGCAGATATCAAAATGTCATGAAGTAGCTGTTTCTTTTATAGCAGTAAATGTTCATCGCTACCCTGGGAGGGCAAAGAACCAGGGGACGGTGGCTAACTTTGGGCAGGTTCATTAAATTTGGTCAGTTCCAAACATTCCAAATTGAAATATTAATAGCAAGCATGTATTGTTTCTTCTCTAGAAATTTTATCCTCAATATAGTCATCCAATTTATAACGAATTTATAAAAATAGCTTTTTTATCCAATAATTCCAGCAAGGTAAAAATAGGAGTTTCTTTTTATATATAGCAAATGAGACAGGCTCACTGAACACGAGGGGACTGGGCTTGCTGAGCTTGCCATCCATCCACCACGATGAAACCACACTCAGTCTAGGTGTGTGCCACAGTCCCCGCATATTGGCAGTTTCAGGTGCAGAAGCTTCTTTCAAATCCATGGGCCACACAAAAAAAACCAGCCCACTGAGATCTGCTGGAACCACAGAACTAAGTGAAAACTGCATCACGGTTTAGAAAATGGCAGCGCTTTTCCTTAATCTAATTAGGGATTCAAGGAGGGGGGGGGAGTGGTGTGTCATTCCTCACATATCTAGCGTTAAACCTTTAAAGAATTTCTTTAAAAATCCACACACACCACACACACACCACACACACACATACGCACACACACACACACTTCAAAGAAGTCGCTGCACCGGCAAAGACACGCTTTAAGCTTACTATGAAATACAAAAGTGCACTCTTCTATATCTACATATAAAACATATCAGAAATAAAACTGTGTAAAATGTTTGCTGTGCAAACTATGAAAAGTCAGGTGAGTCTGCTCCTCCGTCCTACTGCAGGGAGTCGCTGTTCTCCAGGACGAGCCCGCTGATGTGCGCGGGGGCTAGGGCGCCCGCGTCCTCCTCTGTGCTGTCCACAGACTCATCCTCGCTCTGCCCTGCCATCATGACCTGCTGCACCGCCAGGGTGGCCCCGTCCGAGGACAGAGACTGAAGGCTGTCCACGTTCATGTTCACGGGCGTGGTGATGGTCACAACAGCTCCTGCGGCAGGATGAGGCTGTATCACTATTTAAATTAGTGCTCGCAGAAAAACACTTTATTACTCAATTGGGTGCTGTTTGCTTGTTTGTCCTAAAGTTTAGAAACACCTACGTATGTTTAGGGAATGTTCAACGGGGATTGAAGACACTGTTTCTGAAATCAGCCAAGGACCACCCTTAGCTAATAAGGCCTTGGCCTAAGAACACCCTCAGATCAGGACTCTAAAGAACACAGATTCGTGGAGCAAACTGTATTGTAATAAAAAGAAAACCCAAAAACACAGAAGGAAGCCACGCAAGAAGAACACAGTGGAGAAACAAAGTAAAAAGGGGAATACAGGAAGAAGAAGGAAGACCTGCATGAAAGGAAAGAAAGAAACGCTATCGCATGCCAGTGCCTGCTGTAGAGCCGAACAGCAGACGATGGAAACAGCCCAAACATCCACAAGCAAGGCCCACATGAAAACACTCAGCAATGAAGAGGACGGGCACAGTGGCTCACAACTGTAATCCCAGCCCTTTGAGAGGCCAAGGAGGGAGGATCCCTTGAGCCAGGAGTTCCAGACCAGCCAGCCTGGGCAACATGGGAGGCCCCATCTCTACAAAACATTGAAAAATTACCCGGGCATGGTGGTGCATGCCTGTAGTCCCAGCTACTCAGGAGGCTGAGGTGGGAGGCTCGCTTGAGTCCAGGAAGTCAAGGGGCTGCAGTGAGCCAAGCTCATCCCCACTGCACTCCCTAGCCTGGATGACAGAGCAAGACCCCGTCTCAAAAAATAAAACACTGAACAATGGAATGCTATGCTGCTACTAAACCATACAGTGGACCAGCGTTTACTAATTTGTAAAATTCTGCAAGACGCATTAATGAGTAATGAAGGAAAATAGAGGCAGTGTTATATGATATGCTAACATCCGGGTAAAATTTCAAGGGATACACATTCATCCATTCATCTGTGTCTGGGTATACAATATCCTATCATGTTTGCACTGGAGGTTGTACAGGAAACTGGTAACAATGACTGTCTCTGGAGAAGTAGAAGCTAGGATGGAAGAGAGATTTACTTTTCACTGAATATTCTTGTGTCAGTGTCTTTCCTCAGTAGATAGGCATTGCCTTTGCTGACAGAGGGAGACAGAGAAAGAGGGGGAAAGAAAGAGAATAATAGCTTTCTAGCTATTCATTCTTTAAACAGGAGACCACTACACACCAAAGCCTAAACGATGCAGCCACAGCAGTACTTGAGGAAACTTGCTTTAAATGCATGTAACACACCTCAAGAAAGGCTAAATGGACACAAAATAAGTGTGATTCACAACCCATCCTAACCTGGGGGCCAGCACCACCACTGAATGTCCCCTACGCATTCAGTGGAGAACCTATTAGCTCCTGCTGCAAGGAACTGACCTGAGGCTGGGGGAAAAGACCCACAGGGAACAGAGCCCAGCACTCACACAGACAGCCTGGAAAACTCATTGTCTGCAGCCACTGGATGGAAAACTCAGGAGGGTCTGGCCTCTGCTGGGATAATCCGTGCTAGCTTGGGCACTGCTGCGGACTACCCACAAGGATCACACAGCTCCCGAGTGACCTAACTGCCCTCCAGAGCAAAACTCAAGAAGACTTACAGGAATACAAAAACATCCAGCACCTCCAAAGGCAAAATTCCCAGTGCCTGGCATCCAGTCAGATGACCAGCCATGAAAAGAAGCAGGGAAACCCATCATCAGGAGGAAAAGCAATCAGCTAAAACTGACCCAAGCTGACAGGTGTTAGAATTCAGAGAGGAGGACATCAAAGCAGCTGCTGCACCTGCATTCTGTGTGTTCCACGCTGAAGCAGACTCACAAAAGACATACAAGACTCAAAGAGAACCTCTGGAGGGACGGACACTACGGTGTCTAAGATGAAAACCACACTGGATGGGATCAGCATAAGACGAAGCAATGCAGAAGAAAAGATCAGTGCAGTGGAAGGAGAGTCACGGAAATCACCCAAAATGACACAGAATCTAACAAACTGAAAAGCACATCAGCAACTATGTGAAACTTTACACCACCTAATACACAGGCACTGAAGTCCCTGAAAAGGGCTGCAGGAGGAAGGTCAGAAAATGTGGTTAAAGAAATAATGGCCTCAAACTTTCCTAACTGAAAAAAGAAAGAAGAGGAAATACCACCATTTACATACACTTAAAAAGACATGCACAAGGGCTGGGCGCAGTGGCCCATGCCTGTCATTCCAGTACTTTGGGAGGCCCAGGCAGGTGGATCACCAGGTCAGGAGTTCCAGACCATGGTGAAACCCTGTCTCTACTAAAATTACAAAAAAAAAAAAAAAAAAAACAAACATATATATATGGGCCGGGTGTGGTGGTGGGTGCCTGTAATTCCAGCTATTTGAGAGGCTGAGGCAGAGACTTGCTCAAACCCAGGAGGCAGAGGTTGCTGTGAGCCAAGATCACACCACTGCAGTCCAACCTGGGCAACAGAATGAGCCTCCATCTCAAAAAAAACCAAAAAATAAATAAAAACACATGCACGCAAAACCATCCAATATATGAAGAACTCATGCAAAGATTCCTATAAAACACATCAGAATGGCTGCCTGTGACAGGCACGGAGGGCAGAGGTCACAGGGAATGAGCAAAAACAGGAGAAGGGCAAGGCGGATGAGGAGAAAGAAGCCACATGCTGAGAACAGGGTAATTCCCTGCTCTGCACCCAAAGCCGGAGGGAAAAGGAGAGCAAACTCAGAAGTAAAGGAGAATCTGCTGTCCGTGGCTGCATCTGTGAACAGAGCGAATGATTTCCTATCTCTATCGTGTGTCTTACATTCCCTACTACTGGTGCTCCTAACTCTTACCAAGAGCTCCCACGCACCCAGAATGCAGGTTCCCCGTGCTTTTGTTGCAGAGAAAGAGAAGGACATGTGCTTTGGTTCACCGCACTACCTGAGGCTCACAGCCAACAGGCCCGATCCAGGCCTCCTGTTCAGAATCCCCACCCCACGGTCCACCATGTCTGGCCTTGGCCAGCCGCCCATACCTTCTGACATGGCGAGCTCGCTCGGCGGTGGCTGTGCGACTCCTGATGCAATAGAGTCGGGCCAAAACCTCTGAACTGGCCGGTTCTGAGCAGTTTTTTTCTTTGTTTTGGGGGTTTCTGAACAACTTGAATCCAACATTGGCTGAAGAATTCGTCTTCTGGCATTGATGAACCTGGAGTCGACAAAGGGAAGCTTTCATCAAAACAGCCTTCGTAAAGACCCTATACAGGACTAACAAATCCTTCTAACAAACACACCGCTCTGAACCACGCTACAAAGAATAACTCATGCTCTCCACTATCATAACGACTTAAGAGGACTCAACGACAGCTATTCTAAATCATCTAAATGGCCAGAAACACCGGGCCTGTTGTTTTAAAATCATTTACATAAGGACCAACTCATCCCTGGCACTTTTTTTTTTTTTTTGGCCTCAACTCATTTAGTGCATGTTTATCAACTAGACACTCATAAGAACACAGATGATCCTGTTGAATCTGCGAATTTGACACTATTTTCCCTAAGGAAGGAAAACATTAAAGAAGCAAGACTTTATCCTGTAGTGCCATCATGCCTGAGACCATCAGGCAGTCTACACTCATCTGGACATCACCAGATCAGGCCGTGCCTTGGGTGGCAACCTGTCTGAGCCGTCAGGGAACAGGACTGCCAACTCTGGCTTTACCACAAAGCACGATCTAAGGCAAAAGCTGCATCTTTTCAAAAACGGTTCCCAGCGATGAGCTGTTTCTGAGATGACTGAAGGCCTAAGTCATCCAGTGGCCCTAGACACAGGACTAGCTCAGCACCTAGGCACCGGCAGTGATGGAATCCCTGACAGACGTTAGCGGCTCTGTGAGACTAAGAGCTCAGGCCTGTGGTAAGACTCCACAGAGAACGAGACCAGCAGCAATCATAGGCTGGCGAGGCAGGCTAGACACTGTTTCATTTCAAATGAGTATGGCAGCAATACCAAAACACATTTAAGATTAAAGCCTGCTGTCTTCAGTCCCCATTCTTGAATGCTACTTTTTTTTTTTTTTTTTTTTTTTGAGACAGGGTTTCCCTTTTGTTGCCCAGGCTGCAACCATCTGGCTCACTGCAACCTCCACCTCCCAGGTTCAAGAGATTCTCCTGCCTCAGCCTCCTGAGTAGCTGGGCTTACAGGCACGCACCACCACATCCAGTTAATTTTTGTATTTTTAGTAAAGATGGGGTTTCTCCATGTTGGTCAGGCTGGTCTCGAACTCCCAACTTCCGGTGATCTGCCCGCCTCTGCCTCCCAAAGTACTGGGATTACAGGCGTGAGCCACCATGCCCAGCCAGTTTCCATTCTTATGCTCTGAGCTGTTGCCTTTGGATATGAGAAAGTGCAAGGAGACTCAAATCCCCAGGCCAGCTTTTCTTCCTGCGGTGACTGGAGCATGAAGATAATGACCCAGACACACGTTCTGCCACAACCACCACCCTATGCCACTGACCGGGCCACTCTGCTACAAAAGGAACTACAACGGGAAGAAACAAAGAAAAACAACTGCCGTCCCGTCCCGTGAAAGCGCCTGTCAAAGCAGAACCGGTCCAGACTCCCACAGCAGCGGCAGTACCCGCCATGCTTAAGGCCTCATTTCCATCTTCTGTTTTCGGTCACATAGGGATAAAGTAGCTGACCCCTGCTGGAGTCACACACTGCTCGTCTAGTAAAAGCCAGACTTCTACATCTGGATAGCTGAGTAGCCATGCTCACAGTGTCAGGGAAATAAAGCATTGCTTTTAGACTCAGATTCTACTCTGCCTTGTCACTGTGACAACGTCTCTCTTTTTTTAATGCCCACCTCTGCAAAACAACAGAACTAGAACCGGATCAGCTCTAAGGTTGCTTCATTTTAAAAGTCCAAGATTTTAAAACATCTACAAGATCATATGAGGACAGAGTCGAATAATAATGAGCCAGCTTGGATGCCGCCATGCTTCATTTACAGGAACCCGGAGTCCCTGCAGCACCAGCTCCACAGCCACTGAGACCCCAGCAAGACCTGGGTGGGAAGGCCCCGCCGCTACTGTACAGCTAGTGCTTGACTTACGACCACGATTGGTTCCAACAGACCGGTCGTAACACGATTTGGTCGTAAGTTGAGTAGGCTATATGCACGCGGAGATGGTAGTGCTGCCGGAAGCTGGTCCGCACTGTCATACGCCCAGCTGGGCAATGTTTGCGCTGCCAGACACGGAGCAGTTGTGGCTAGCGACTGTGGTCGTAAAGTCGAATGGTCGTAAGTTGCATAGGTCGTAAGTCGATCAATACCTGTAGTGTGTTTTTAAATCCTTCTTATTCAAAGCTGCTACCAGCAGAGGCATGAGCTAATGATAGGTGTGTACATCTCACTCCAAGGTGTAATGTTTGTAAATACAAAAGAAAAGAAAATCACAAAAAGTAAAAGTAGCTACAAATATTAAAGATTTTAGAAATTTGGAATTTAAGGTATATTACTAAACTGTAATTAATATTAAAAATTAAGGCCGGGCGCGGTGGCTCACGCCTGTAATCCCAGCACTTTGGGAGGCCAAGGCGGGTGGATCACGAGGTCAAGAGATCGAGACCATCCTGGTCAGCATGGTGAAACCCCGTCTCTACTAAAAATACAAAAATTCAGCTGGGCATGGTGGCATGTGCCTGTAATCCCAGCTACTCAGGAGGCTGAGGCAGGAGAATTGCCTGAACCCAGGAGGCGGAGGTTGCAGTGAGCCGAGATCGCACCATTGCACTCCAGCCTGGGTAACAAGAGCGAAACTCCGTCTCAAAAAAAAAAAAAAAAAAAAAAAGATGAAATTGTCTCCTACAGCTGACCAGCAAGTAAATAAACATGAGACAAGTGACTAATAACCAAAATGGAAGCTCACCCCCAACTTGAGTGCCACGTGGGCACACGCACAAGCTCTTACTGAAGGAAAAACATCTGCCAGAGTGCAAGTGTCCCCAGCAACGTCTGACAGCAGAACTAGAAGGGGCTGCTTCATGAAATGTCCTCCTGGGTGTTTCTGTCCTGGGAGTGGCTCCCAGACTGCCGTGCGTGGAGCAGGGCCCCCACAAGACAGAGCGGCAGAGGGTCCTACCCTGGGCAGGGCCTGTCACTGTTGGCCTCCCACCATCCAGAGGCCCATCTACTAACACAGCGCGGTTTGTATGGATGTGGGCCTGGGGACAGTAGCACCCTAGAGAAACAGTTCTAAAGAGGTAGGCAGGGTGCAGTCCATCATGACGTACTGACAGGAAAACTTAGTTGAAATCTGGTTTATTCCTCAGTCTCCTGCTCCCACTGCCCATTAAAAGAACTCATGTTTTTAGTCAGGCACAGTGACTCATACCCATGATCCCAGCACTTTGAGAAGCTGAGATGGGGGGATCACTTGAGGCCAGGAGTTTGAGACCAGCTTGGGCAACACAGCAAGACCCCATCTCAACTGGGAAAAAGAAAAAAGAGAGATCTCGTATTTTCAGCAACCTTTCACCATGTGTTAGTGTCAGGGTTTCTGAGCGCTCTACCGTGCTGACAGGCACGACTTCAGAAAGCAGGGCACCTTACCAGTTGTTGACTTGGAGTAGTGTCAAATTTGTCTGAGCAGCAATCTGTTTTTTCTCGTCCTCTGTTGGGTAGGGATGCTGAAAATAAAAAGGAAGGTTACCACAGCCTTCGAGTTTACAAAGGCAATCAGGATGATCTAGGCAAAATGTGAGCATTACATAATTGTCTGAAAATAATGGTAACAGCAATAGTGCTTCTAGCCAAAACCTAACTGTAGTCTTACAGAATGAAGTCTTTCTCCTGGTCCCCAGGAATGTCCTAGTGCCGCAGTGGCTGCTCAGTGCACAGGCCAAGGAGGACTGCCCCGACATCTAACAGTTCAAGGGTGACAGTAACAGCAGCGACATCACCAGGAGCAGCTGTGCAGCCCAGCGGTGAGTCTGTTGCAGACTTGATGCCATCTATAGATTTTCTACCAATGTTATTGACCTTTAACTTATGAACAATAAACGACATCCATTTAAAGAGGATGGATGGATGAGTTCAGCCCGAGAACCTCTGCCACAGGCAACACACAACACATCAGCACATTTCCATTACCTTGGTCCATGCTATAGTAAGTCACTGATTCCTCGGAAGCACCTCCTGAGCTGGTCACTGTCATTGGCTTTATCTTACAGAGGAGGAGACTGGGGCACGGAGAGTTTGCAAACTTCCCCCATCCCACAGCTGGTGGAGTGGATAGAGCAGGAAACGGCCAGGCAGGCTGGGGACACGCTTCCATCACTGGTACCACGAGAGTAAACCATCACTGGGATGAGTTGATACTATCGATGGCTTTCTTGGGATCGGGTCTCTGCCTGATTAACCTGTGCTGTCAGTAAAGAACTGAACCCAGGGCCGGCGACAGGAGTGCCTGTTATGCTCTTCTTCTTTTACGTGTGATTGAAACATTTCATACACAAAAACTTCAACCAAAGGGCCACGTGCAGTGGCTCATGCCTTTAGTCCCGGCACTTTGGGAGGCCAGGGCAGGTGGATCACTTGAGGTTAGGAGTTCAAGGCTAGCCTGGCCAACATGGTGAAACCCCATCTCTACTAAAAATACAAAAAATTAGGCTGGTATGGAGGTAGGTGCCTATAAGCCCAGCTACTCGGGAGGCTGAGGCAGGAGAACTGCCTGAACCTGGGAGGCAGAGGCTGCAGTGAGCTGAGATCACACCACTGTACTCCAGCCTGGGCAACAAGAGCAACACTCCATCTAAAAAAAAAAAAAAAAATGAAAAAACTAACCAGAACTAAATAGCAAAAACCACAGAAGTATTAACCAAAAACGATGTATAGCTATGCTAAATAATTTCTCCAAGACTGATGACTGTCTATATGTGGAAATCGACAAGACATTTACTGTAAACCTGAATGCACCGAAGTCCCTGATTTTGGACCAACAGGGACCCAAGAGAATGAATGACACCAACAAACTCAGCAGTGGGAGTTTCCCGTGGCTTTGATGTGAAAGGAACACTCGGCAACATGGAAACGGCCCTGCTTCTCTCGCAGGAGGGACAGATCGGCCTCGGATGTGCCTCAGCAGCCAGGTGTTTCTTTCCTCAGATTCACTGGCAGCGTGACTCAACCTGACTCTATCCACCAGTGTGTGGCCCTGAGTTCAAGGTCACGGAAACATCAATATTGTTCTCCCCCTTTATAAGGCCCATAAAATAGAAACTCGGCAGGAAAGTCAGGCACACGAGCAGAAAACAGCAGCGGCGACAGACACCACGCTCAAGTGTGCGGGAAACTACAGTGGGACGGCGCTGCCAAGAAACGGGGGCGAGAAGGGACTGAGAACGCCACAGAAGAAACGTGGCTGCTTCGCCAGACACGGTGAGCAGGGCTGAGCGCTTCAGAAATCATTAAAACATGAAGGGAAACCTAACAGGAGAGCACTTGCCCAACCCCACCACTCCGTGTTCTTCTATAATTATGCATATTGGTTGTAATAATCACAATTTACGTAAAAATACCTACATGCTGCCTTTTTCCTGCTATCATTTACTACACCTCCTGACTGCTTAGAGCCCCCATTCATCATGCCAACTATCACATGACACTCCATTGAACAGACATGCTGACCTGCTTTCCATGATGATATTGAACAAGGTAACATTTTTATACACAAAACTTCCTGTTTTCTTGTGACTGATCTCCTTGGGCCAATTTCTTGGAGTGGCCCCACTGCTTAAAGGTAGCACTTCTTTTTCCGGACATGTGTGGCTGGCTCGCCACCTTAGCCCACGGAAGCGGCGCAGTAGAGACCAAGAGGCCAGGGCCGGCAAGCGGGGGACGCACCCCAGGCTCCTGCCAGGCCCTCCGCCCTGGAGGGGGCCCTTCCCCTCCCAGGACGGCTCAGCAACACCATCCATTGTTTCAAGCTTTCAGCCAGTCACTCCCATGGACCCCGTCCTCAACCGAGGAGCCCGAGGAAGCCACAGGAAAGCAGGCCACGAGATGGCGAGATGGCCACAGGCTTGGGGGTCCACGGTCAGGGAGGGCAAGGACAGAGTGCCAGGGACACATAGGCCTCAGCCCCAGTGGAGGCGCCCAGGAGAGGAGGCAGCAGAAGGGCAGAGCAGATACAGCACAGAAAAACGAGGAGAAGGAGGCTGGGAAGACGGGAGGGTACAGTCACAGCCCCACACCCATCAGCGGCGACAGTTGGGGGAGAAGGGCAACCTGATGGCCAAGCCAAACTAGTGTCTGCCTCCTGCCTCAGTCTCCCTGTGCTTGCCCTAGGAGAGCCCCACTTGCTCTCTTTGGCCCTGAGTCAGCAGGCTGGCAGCAATGGTGCCACACAGCGTGCAGAGCAAGTCTCCCCCATCAACTCAGAAGGCCGGCCCACCACTGCATTTCCTAAGATGTCCTGGGGACAGGGAGAACCCGTGGTCATGCCCCGGGGGAGGGAGCCAGGTACACACGCCGAGCAAACCAGCTCTCCCTCTGGGACAGACTCCCTTCCAGAGAAAGGCAACCCACCATGTGGTCCTGTGGGTGCACTCGACCCTGTGATGTCTCTAACTGATCTCAGCTTCCCTGCGAATCCGACACACAAAAACAGGGCGACTTCCCTAGCTGCTGCCCAAGAACATCCTGACACCCTTTCTCTGCCCACTTTTCTGGCTCACCCGACCCCATCGCCCTTCGCGGTGGGCTGTCTCATGCACATGCACAGCTCACACGTGCCTGGCTTGCTCCTTGGTGGCCGCCCTCACTGTCCTTCATGCTTCCTGCAGCAGTGTCCTCTTGCTGTCGGGGGCCCTCCCTCTTGCCCCAGTTCCTCCCATTATAGACATGCCACGAAGTCCTGAAAGTCAGGCCTTGGACTTTCTGAGCCCAGAGAAGCAACCCTTTTCCACAACACACAAGCCAGAAGGCCAGTGTCGCAGAGAGCTGTGAGGCGGGGGCCGGCACATCCATCCTTACCCCAATGTGCTGGAAGAGCCAGGACCGCATCACGTTCGTGGCGTGCTTCGGCAGGACGCCCCTCTTGTTCTTAGATGAACCGTCATCTTGATGCAAGATGCTGAGATCCTGGTTTAACTGTAACTGAAGCTTTTACACAATTGAGAAATAACATTAGAAAGCATAGGAAGTTCCCACATATCCAAGTACTTACAACTTCCGGCGGAGAAAGCGGCCAAGAATCAGCCAGGTGAATGACCTATAGTCATTCTACACACGGGAACCCTGTGTGGGCTGACGTTTTAGGACACCACTCCCTCCACATTATTGGGCTTTTCTTTCTTTTGAGACAGGATCTTGCTCTGTCACCGAGGCTGGAGTTCAGTGGTGCAATGACAGCTCACTGCAGCCTTGAACTCCTGGGCTCAAGCGATTCTTCCAGCTCAGCCTCCCCGGTAGCTGGGACCACAGGCACCCACCACCACACCCAGCTAATTTCTTCTACTTTTTGTAGAGACAGGGTCCCGCCCTGATGCCCCGGCTGGCACGGGATAAGCGTTTGCACTAGTGACCCGGCTCTCAGGCCTCTCAGGTGGGGAGGCTCAGAGCCCATCGTGGTGCAGGCAGAAACGCCGTGACCCTCTCCCCTAGCAGCTGCTCCCACCTGTGCCTCCTACAGTGGGGGCGGCGAGAACATGTGACTTCCTCACTGAAAAGGATTTCAAGAACCAATGAGAGTGAACAGGAACATGAGAAAATCCACCTCTCAAGAGCAGGACACGCCAGGGGAGCACCGGGAAGAGAAACGGAAACAGCACGAAGGCAGGAAGAGGAGCCGCAGGGCAGGAGGGCACAGGCCGACTCCTTGTTCCAGACGCCTCAGCAGGCACTGGAGAGCCAGGCCTTCCCTCTTGTCACCCAGGAAAGGGTAGGCTACTCTGCCCACTCGATTTAAAAAGAAAAAGATGTGAATGGCGTTTCTTTGTTAAATTCCTTCTCACAAAACACGAGAGACGATCTGCGCGTTGCCATGCTGTGCTCAGGCCCTGGCGCAGCCTCTCTCACACAGCCTCGCCAGCTGCCTGCTGAGGTGACGCTGCCACTGAGCACTGCACAGACCAGCGAGGGACGGAAGTGAGACCACTCCGTAGGGCCTGCAGCATGGAGAGGTCAGCCTATGTACGAACTCACATATATCAACCTAATGTGTACAGTGACTCACACCTGTAATCCCAGCACTTTGGGAGGCCAAGGCAGGAGGACTGTTTGAGCCCAGGAGTTCAAGGCCAGTCTGGGCAACATAGTGAGACTCTGTCTTTACAAAAAGTTTCAAAATTAACTGGGCAAGGTGGCACATGCCTGCAGTCCCAGCTACTCAGGAGGTGGAGGTGGGATGATTGCTTAGCCTGGGAGGTCAAGGCTACAATGGGCCGTTTGCTCCACTGTACTCCAACCTGGGTGGCAAAGTGAGACCTTGTCTCTTTATTTAAAAAAAAAAAAAAAAAAAAAAAAAAAAAGTCAGAGCACCTGCAAGAAAATAGAAGCTTCTCGCCAGGTGTGGGAGCTCATGCCTATAATCCCAGCACTTTGGGAAGCCAAGGTGGGTTGATCACAAGGTCAGGAGTTCGAGACCAGCCTAGCCAACACGGTAAAACCCCGTCTCTACTGAAAATACAAAAATTAGCTGGGTGTGGTGGCTTGTGCCTGTAATCCCAGACCTGGAGGCATGAGAACTGCTTGAATTCAGGAGGCGGAGGTTGCAGTGAGCTGAGAGCATGCCACTGCACTCCAGCCTGGGCAACAGAGTGAGACTCTGTCTCAAAAACAAAAAAAAAAGAAAAGAAAAAAAGAGAAGCTTCTGTAAGAGGAGAAAAACACAAAAGATTGGAAAAAAGAACAACCTTCTTGAGAGCTGGGCACAGCAGCTCATGCCTGTAACCCCAGCACTTTGGGAGGCCGAGGCGGGCAGATTGCTTGAGCCCTGGATTTCCAGACCAGACTGGCCAACATGGTGAAACCCCATTTTTACTAAAAATACAAAAATTAGCTGGGCATGGTGGTACATGCCTGTAATCCCAGCTACTAGGGAGGCTGAGGCAGGAGAATTGCTTGAACTTGAGAGGTGGAGGTTGCAGTGAGCCGAGATCACACCACGACACTCCAGCCTGGGTAACAGAGTGAGTCTTCGTCTCAGAAAAACAAAAAACAAAAATAATGCTATCCCAACATGGGGTAGAAAGAATTTTCAACCTGGAATTCTACAAGTAAACAGACTGCATATCAAATAGGAGATCAAAATAAAGTCATTTTTAGGTTTGTAAAGTCTCAAAAAAATGTGGGTTTGTTTTTGGTTTTTTTGAGACAGAGCTTCACTCTTGTTGCCCAGGCTGGAGTGCAGTAGCATGATCTCAGCTCACTGCAATTTCTGCCTCCCAGGTCAAGCAAATCTTCTGCCTCTGCCTCCCAAGTAGCTAGGATTACAGACAGGCTCCTGAAGACCACCTAATTTTTGTATTTTTTTTTTCTTGTTTTATTTCACAGAAAATAATTTGGTTCCAACGCAATTTTTGTATTTTTAGTAGAGACAGGGTTTCACCATCTTGGCCAGGCTGGTCTCAAACTCCTGACCTCAAGAGATCTACCCATCTTGGCCTCCCAAAGTGTTGGGATTACAGATATGAGCCACCGCACCCAGCCAGAATCAATGTTCATTTTCTTTTTTTTTTTTGAGATGGAGTCTCACTCTGTCACTCAGGTTGGAGTGCAGTGGCACGATCTCAGTTCACTGCAACCTCTGCTTCCCAGGTTCAAGCAATTCTCCCGCCTCAGCCTCCCCAGTAGCTGGGACTACAAGCACGCACCACTGCATGCAGCTAAGTTTTGTATTTTTAGAGACAGAGTTTCACCGTGTTGGCCAGGCTGGTCTTGAACTCCTTACCTTGTGATCCACCTGCCTCAGCCTCCCAAAGTGCTGGGACTACAGGCGTGAGCTACTATGCCCGGCCCAGAATCAACGTTCTTAAAATAAGAACTGGTTACACACACCAAAGATGGGGAAGGCTCAGCAGCCACAAGGCAGCGAGGCCTGAAAGCCCAGGCCCAACAACATTCTCCCGCTGGAGGCGTGGGCTGGCCGCACTGGCCTGGAGGCGTGGGCCGGCCTCACTGGTCTGAAAAGCTTGCGGTAGTTCTGCCGTGCCCTCCGGGGAGCCCCAGGGAGAGTGTGCCTATGAGACCTCTGCCCCGGTGGGCGCACACACGATCCAACGTTAGCACTGGATAATGGGGGGAGGAGAGGGGAAGTTATGAGTGACTTTTTTCCTGTTTCTTCAGAATTTTCTGAACTTTCCAAATTTTCTACAATAAGAGAGATGAGAGTACAAAGAAAACACTGACATTCGGAGAAACTAGAAATTGCTACACAAGACAAAGGCTCTTCAGGCAGAGGGAAGGGCTCGTGCTTGCTGTATCTGCGCCCCATGTGGGCAGCACTTGCCCCCAAGGCCTTCCAGAAAATGGCACACACACCTGGGAGTTCTGGATCCTAATTGTCCCGGGCGACAACGTCTGCGTGACCACTTGGCCTTGGGGAGTGACAACCGTGACAGGCTGATACACTGTGCCACCTGGAAAGGGAGAATAAAAAAATGAGGCTGCCTGTAAGTCTCAATGATTTAAATCATTCTTCTTTTTCTTCTTTTGTAGACGGGGATCTTGCCTCGTTGCCCAGGCTGGTCTCTAGCTCCTGGCCTCAACTCATCTTCCTGCCTTGGCCTCCCAAAGTGCTGGGGTTACAGACGTGAGCCACTGCACCCAGCCCTCTTCTTGATATACTTACAAAGGAATAAAATCTCTAGTTTGATGAGCTTTTAAATCATTTCAAATGATCAATAATCTTTTGCCAGTTGACTTGTCACTATAAAGTATCAAAACAAACTCCCTGGGCGGGCTGCTCAGGCCCCTGCGGCAGTGGGTGGGAGGTGGGCAGGCACTGTGTGCCCAGCAGCCCACACAGCCCGGCTCACACACCACTGACCGACCTGAGGTGTGAGGGCTCCCTTCCTTTTGCTAGCCTCTGCTTTCTACTTTTCCCTAAAATTAGCACATGTTAAAGATTTGGCCCAGGGTACTAAATAATAACTATTTTATTCTAGTGATATTTTTTGATCAACAGTGCTATCTTTTCCCACTGAGGTTTCCCTTTTTTTTGTTTTTGTTTGGTTGGTTTTGGTTGTTGTTGTTGTTTGAGATGGAGTCTCACTCTGTCACCCAGGCTGGAGTGCAATGGCATGGTCTCAGCTCACTGGAACTACGCCTCCCAGGTACAAGAGATTCTCCTGCCTCAGCCTCCTGAGTAGCTGGGATTACAGGCACGTGCCACACCTGGCTAATTTTTGTCTTTTTAGTAGAGATGGGGTTTCACTATGTTGGCCAGGCTGGTCTTGATCACCTGACCTCATGATCCACCCGCCTCGGCCTCCCAAAGTGCTGGGATTACAGGTGTGAGCCACCATGCCTGGACGATGCTTTGTGTTTTCAGTGTTCTCTACCCACCAGGGAACTCTGGAATCTGTCCCCTTCCTATAATGGTTTTTGTTCTACAATTAATACTAATGCTAAGACTGCATTTTTATTTGATTGTCATCAATTAATGATAAAACTTAAGATTTTCAGGGTGCTATTAAAAACACAATTAAAAGCTATGTTATTTGAAAATGAAAAATAACTTTTTGCTGTATATTTTCAACTCCTGTTTTATACAGGAGTTTTTTTTTTTGTTTCCAGTATATTTTTGGAAGAGAAACAAAGAAACACAATTTGCATAAAATATTTGTTATTGAGAATTAACAAGAAACAGGCATTCAGAGACCTCTAGCTTCTACCATTGCTGTATTAGAAAATGGCATTAACTTAAAATCATATTTTTACGGTCACTCTAACATACAGGACCTTTTCCTGAAAAAACTCATGGAGAGCGTGTCATTTTCCCGTCATCGTACCTGCCACAGTCGCCATGGCTACGTTTCCCTGCTGCAGCGCAGACGCCGGCACCACAATTCCTTGAGGGCTGATAGTGCCCGTAATGGCACTTTGAATCTGCTGCAAGTCAGAACACACACGTTGAAGAAATTACTAGAAAATGGAAAACTCATGTTTAAAAATTCAAAATAAGTGGCATAATGCCACCATGAAAAAAGGAAAGAGAAGCTTGAAGGAAAGAGTATCCTCAGATGGCGCAGCTTTGGGAATGCACGCACCACACATGGAAACCAAGAGACGTACACTGTGTACTAAACACAAGCGCGCCTGCAACATCCGCTTGCACTGTGGCTCCCAAGAGATTATCTTCCTCTCGCTGAAGGCATATTCCACGTGCCTCACAGACTGGAGGTGTGACTAGGAAGACCTTGCTTTCTGATCACACACCTTCTTCATTAGACTTGGCTTGGTAGACTCTTGAGTCTTCCATGAACCAAGCTCTCCTTGACCAATGAAAACATTCAAGAGATGAAACCACAGGCCTGGGGGGCACTGGAAGTGACCAGGGCTGAGGTGTTCCAAGCCGTGCTGGGGAGTCGGCCCCTGGCATCTGCCTTGACTTTTGGCCCCAGCACAGACTAAGTGTGATCTCGGCTTTCCCTGGTGTTCTTGCTTGTATGGTGCTTGGGACTATGCCCAGCCTGCGGCGAGCTCCAGGCAAATGTTTGTCCACGCCCCTGGAGGACTCCGCGCATTTGGAGTTAGATCCACATGGACCACTTTATCCAGTGAATGTGACGCCTGGGTGGGCAGCTGGTAAGGCAGAGGAGCCTCCAGTGCTGGGATTGGCACACTCACGTGCCCTGATGTGTGAGCAGCTAAATAGCATAAGGGGACATAATCCCATGGTGACTCTGTGGGCCACCATCGAGCAGAACGTGTAAGCTTAGTGGCTACGCTTAAAGCTGCCCACATTAATTTGGGCGTCATAAAAGTTAAGCCAGTCAAATCAATTATCCCATATCCAACCTTCTGATCCTAGAAAAAGAGGAACATCATGAACCCAAAGCAGAAGTAAGGAAATAATACAGATCAGAGTGAAATCAATGAAACTAAAAACAGAAAAACACCAACCCCCCAAAATAAATAAAACAAAATACTGTTCTTTTTTTTTTTTTGAGACAGAGTTTCACTCTTGTTACCCAGGCTAGAGTGCAGTGCCATGATCTTGGCTCACCACAACCTCTGCCTCCTGGGTTCAAGCAATTCTCCTGCCTCAGCCTCCCAAGTAGCTGGGACTACAGGTACGTGTCACCATGCCCAGCTAATTTTTGTATTTTTAGTAGAGATGGGGTTTCACCATGTTGACCAGGATGGTCTCGATCTCTTGACCTCATAATCCACCCACCTCGGCCTCCCAAAGTGCTGGGATTATAGGCGTGAGCCACCATGCCCGGCCCAAAATACTGTTCTTTAAAAATTACATAAACCTCTAGAGAGACTGACAAAAAAAAAAAGAGACACAGAAGACCGGTATCAGAAATGAAACAGGGAGAGATCACCACAGACCCTGCTAATACCAAAAGTCTAAAGAGAATACCAGACCAACCCTCAATTCCTAAATTTAACATCTTAGGTGAAATAGACCAATTCTATTTATCAAACATTTAAGAACACCAGGTCTACATAATCTCCAGAAAAAAATAAGAGGAGGGAATAGTTACCAATCCATTTCATGTAAGTTTGCATATCTTCATGCCAAAACCAAAGACAGTATGAAAAAGAAAACCATACACCAATGTCTCCTATAAATACAGACAAAAGTGCTGAACAGAATATTAACTAATAGAATCCAAGAATATATATGAAAAGAATTACATGCCATGACCAAGTGGAGTTTATTCCAGGAATAGGAAGCTTGTTCAATATTCAAAAAACCAATCCATGTCGTGCCCATTATTAACAGGCTGAAGAAGAAAAATCACATAATCGTATCAATCAGTGCTGGAAAAGCACTTAACAAAATTGAACAAAATAAAATCTCTCAGAAGAAAAGCAAAATAGGGAACTTCCTCAACTTGATAAGGAGGATCTAGAAAAAACCTGCAACTGACATCATGAACAGTGAGTGACTGAAGGATGTCACCTAAGGCAGTGACAAGGCCAGGATGTCTGCTCTTGCTGCTTTTTCCCAAGATGGCACAGGCCAGGAAAGGAAACAGCTGGGTATAATTCTAAAAACGCATGTGTCAAAAACTGTAAAACACTGAGGAAAGCAATCAGAGTTGTCAGTCAGTGGAGAGACATGCCATACTTGTGGATTGGAAAACTCAACACAATAAAGACACCAATTCTCCCCACATTGATAGACAGGTGTAATGCAATTCCTATCAAGATCTCAGTAAGATTTTTTTGTAGCTCTAGACAAGAGCATTCTAAAATGCATGTGGACAGTCAAAGGAATCTGAATAGCTAAAACAATTTTGAAAAGGAGTAACAGGGTGGGCAGAAACAGTCTACCCAGTTTTGAGACTCATTCCATAGCTACAGTAATCAAGACTGTGGGACAGACAGATCAACAGAGCAGAACACAGACAGGCCCCATAAATATGCCCGACTGATTTTTGATAAAGGTGCCAAAAGCTGCCCCATGGGGAAAACAGCTTTCTGAATAAATAGTGCTGGGACAAATGGGCGTCCATAGCCGACCTGAACCTCACACTTCATACAAAAACCAACTCGAAATGGATCACGGTTAAAATAAACGTAAAATGTAAAACTATACAACTTTTAGGAGACCGGGCATGGTGGTTCACACTTGAGCCCAGGAGTCTGCAACCAGCCTGGGCAGTGTGGTGAGACTTTGTCTCTACTTAAAAACTTTTAGGAAAAAAAAAAAGACAAAATCTTTGAGATCTAGGGATAGACAAAGAATTCTTAGACTTGACACTAAAAGAATGATCCATAAAAGGAAAACCTAATAAATTGAACTTTATTAAGATTAAAAACGTTGGCTCTAAAAAAGGCCTGTTAAGAGGATGAAAAAGATACTTAGCTACTATAGAGTTGGAGAAAACATTTGCAAACCATACATCCAACGGAGAACTAGTATCTATAATTAGCAAAGAACACTCAACATTCAGAAGTTAAAAAAAAAAATCCAATTAGAAAATAGGCAAAAGACATAAGTAGATATTTTACCAGAGAAAATACATAGAGCGGGCCGGTTGCAGTGGCTCACACCTGTAATCCTAGCACTTTGGGAGGCCAAGGTGGGTGGATCACAAAGTCAGGAGTTCGAGACTACCCTGTCCTACATGGTGAAACCCCAACTCTACTAAAAATACAAAAATTAGCTGGGCATGGTGGTGCCTGCAATCCCAGCTACTCGGGAGGCTAAGGCAGAAGAATTGCTTGAACCTGGGAGGTGGAGGTTTCAACAAGCCAAGATTGCACTACTGCACTCCAGCCTGGGCGACAGAGCAAGACTCCATCTCAAAAGAAAAAAAAAAATACACAGACGGCATAATGTTCAACATCATTAGTCATCAGGGAAATGAAAATTAAAACCACAAAGAAATATTACTATTACTACGTATCATCAGAATGGCTAAAACACCATAGTGCTTCCTCATGGATGAAGCTTACAGGCATTCTGATGAATGAAATAAGCAAAGGACCCAAAAGGACAAACACTGTACAATAATTCCATTTAACATGAGAGACCTGGAGTGGTCAAATTCACAGAGACAGATAGAATGGTGGGTGCCAGGGGCGAGGGCAGGGGGACTAGGGAATGAGTGTTTAAGGGGTCAGAGTTTGGGTTTGAGATGAGAAAGCTCTGGAGATGGCTGGCGTTGACAGTTGCACAACAGTGTGAATACACTTAATGCACTGAACTGTACATTGTAAAAGGGCTAAGATGGTACATTTTGTATTACATATATTTTACACAGCTTTTTAAAAGAACAAACAAAGTATCTTAAGAAGAAATAAAAGAAAGAAATGAATGGAATTGTACCCTCCATAAACATGGGATGGGGCCCAGTAGGCAGACTGAGGACTCACTTCATACCCTGAGGGAGTTCATTTCCAGACCAGGCTGGGTCAGAGACTAGAGGGTCCTTCCTGTAGAACGCCATTAAGATGACCCAGTGAATTCTGAAAGAGCTGGTGGTCTCATGACTCAGTGCAGATGTTCACGGTGGCAGAGGTAAAGCAAGAACCGCAGTGTAAGTACCTGGGACTGCACGGGGGAGTACGGGCTTCCAGGCTCTCCACTCAACAGTGTCTCACTGTTCATTTTCGTTTTCAGACAAGCAATGTATCGACTGCAGAAATCTTTGCAGAGTTCATTAACCTTTTCCAGCTCAAGAAGATGAATGCGCAAAACCTGGATTGCTTTTACCATCTAGGGCAGAGAAAATGAAGCCTTTCAGAGAAAAAGGTAGCATCATTGTAAGTTATCATGATCACACATACCAGTTCTGTCATTAGATGGAACCATCTTCACTGCCAGTAACCAAAGTGGAATCACATCAGAATCCTATGAACTGATGAGCTGCTCCAGTGCCACTGACCTGGGCTTTGGTATTCGGCTGCATCTGGTGTGCCGGGAAGACAAAGGTGGTGGTGCTGACCTCAGCGTGTCCCAGTGCTAGGTGTGTGGGCTGTGAGCCAAAGCCTAGCCCTGCCACTCACTTGCTCAGGACAAGTGACTCACCTCATCCACTCCTGTCTCTAAAATAGGGATACATCCATACTTCCCCCAGGTGGTTCCACATTTTCATCAAGTGCAATTTTGGTGTCAAGTCTAAGAACTCTTCGCCTAGTCCTAGATCCTAAAGATTTTCTCTTGTGATTTTTCTAAAAGTTGTATAGTTTTTTTGTTTTGTTTTGTTTCTGTTTTTTTGAGAGAGTTTTGCTCTTATTGCCCAGGCTGGAGGCTGGAGGCTGGAGTGCAGTGGTGCGATCTCAGCTCACTGCAACCTTCGCCTCCTGGGTTCAAGCGATTCTAATGCCTCAGCCTCCCGAGTAGCTAGGATTACAGGCATGCACCACCACACCCAGCTAATTTTTGTATTTTTAGTAGAGATTAGGTTTCATCATGTTGGTTAGGCTGGTCATGAACTCCTGACCTTAGGTGATCCACCTGGCTCGGCCTCCCAGAGTGCTGAGATTACAGGCGTGAGCCACCGTGGTTGGCCAAAGTTGTATAGTTTTGTGTTAAGTTACTACGTTCTGGGGTAATTTGTCCCACAGCAATAGATAATACCAATAATGCAACCATTATCATAAGCACCAGCTGCCTATGAATCAGCAGCTCTGAGGCCCAGCTCCTTCACCTGTAAACCTGGTGGTAGTAATTCATAGGTATCTATGCAGTGAATACATGAATCAATCAATAACAAAAATGATAGCGCATCCAGCTCTGGAAGGCTCTGTGCTAAACACTCACCAGTCAGGAGAACCTTGGTCCCTGCCAGCCTGGTGGGGTGTAGAGGACACCTGTGCTCTACTCACAGGGCCAAGCCAGGTGTGGGCCAATGGGAAGTTGGATGCAGACCACAGACTCAGGGGTGGAGAGAGCTTCTGATCCTCACCCCCAAAGAGCATGCACTGTCAGTATCATTTCAGGGAGAAGGAGACAGACCCAAGTCAGGTAATTCCCCACAAAATCTATTTGGCGGTAAGCATTGAGCATATACTGAGAATTTTTTTAAAAACTAAGATCTCAGCAATTTATTCAGGAAAAATGAGTTTTCAAAAAACCCTTTCTGCTGAAGGCCCTGACCAGGGTTTTGATGTGGGACCAAGATGGCTCAAAGGGGACCCAGTGAAGGTTCCCTGATACTGGTTCTTTGTGTATCCCGAGCTGGGAAGCAAACATGGGGTTATACTCCGGCAGTAGAGCAGACTCAGAGCGCGGCCTGCCCAGACCGTGCTGACAGTGCCATACAGGTGCCTCAGGCGCAGCTCGCTCAGGGCACTCCGGTGACGATGGAACCAAGGAGTTCTCGCTTGCCTTTGGAGAGCACAGAAAACTTTGGATTTTGGAACCCTGGACCTGGGAGGAGGGCACCGCAAATCAGTGTCAGCCTTGAGACAGAGCTGTCTTGGAGAATAAAGCCTGTGTCCATGTCCATGATAAACAAAGGACAGACGTGGGGCAAAGGCAGGCTGCCCGAGCACCCCAACCCCACCCCACGGACCTTTACAGACACTGTACAGAGAACACAATCTCCGTGCCCATTTAGCAAGGAGGCTCAAACGATTTTATTTATTTTTCTTTAGACAGCGTTTCGCTCTTCTTGCCCAGGCTGGAGTGCAACGGCGCAATCTCGGCTCACCATAACCTCCACCTCCCGTGTTCAAGCAATTCTCCTTCCTCAGCCTCCCGAGTGGCTGGGATTACAGGCATGTGCCACCACGCCGGCTAATTTTGTATTTTTAGTAGAGGTGGGGTTTTTCCATGTTGGTCAGGCTGGTCTCGAACTCCCGACCTCAGATGATCTGCCTGCCTCGGCCTCCCAAACTGCTGGGATTACAGGCATGAGTCGCCACGCCTGGCTCATTTTATTTGATTTTTAAAGGAAAGTGTAGGTTGGGCCTTCAGAAGTTGAGGATGGAGGATTGCTTGAGGCTAGGAGTTTGAGACCACCCTGGGCAACACAGCACGACCTGTGTCTAACAAAAATAAAATAAACTTAAAAATAAAAACTAAATAAATAAAGGATACCTAGAAAAGGCTGAAGACTTGGGGATATCCACGTTACACACATCATAAAAGTAAGTTATTTTATAGTTGCATGAGTCTTTCCTTTAGAAGAACTGCAAGCAGTCTAAAGTTCTACTTAGAAGTTTAAATTTCATGAACAGATTTCACATTTTGAAAAATAAAAATAAAATGTATTTTACTTACTAAATTGTCAGTTTCTGGATCTTCACAAAAGAAGGGCTTCCCTTCCTTCTCTTGCTTCCTTACAAAATTTTCGATATCTACATCAAAACTGGCAGAAGTCGTGCCCTCGGAGCCCTGTGTGGATTGCTCACATTTTTCAAACAACAAAGCTAACAATGGAAATAGTGGATGCCTGAGGAGCAAAGAGAAAAAAGAAGAAATTTATGTTCTACATCCCTATGAGAATGTCTTCGCATGCGCGCCTGCACTGCTTCATGTAACACCTCTGTTGGGTTAAAATTCACATACCATACAGTTCATCCATTTAAAGTACACAACTCAGCAGTTTTTAGAGTTGTGCAGCCATTGCCACAGTCAACTTTAGAACACTTCCATCATCCCCCCAAAGAAACCCTGTATCCAATGGCAGTCATTCTCCACTTTTTCCCAAACGCCGGCCTGCTAAAACCTACTTGCTATCTCTATGTGTTCGCCTCTTCTAGACATTTTTGTTGTTGTTATTTATACACCTCATATAAATGGGAATTGTCTAACATGTGACCATGGTGTCTGGCCTGTTTCCCACAGCATAATGTGTCTAAGGCTTACCAATGTTGTAACAGGTATCAGTACTTTATCCCTTTTTTTGGGGGGGTGGGGTGGGGGGGACAGACTCTCACTCTGTTGCCCAGGCTGGAGTGCAGTGGCACGATCTCAGCTCACTGCAACCTCTGCCTCCTGGGTTTAAGCAATTCTCCTACTCAGCCTCCCCAAGTAGCTGAGACTACAGGCACCCATCATGCCCAGCTAATTTTTGTATCTTTAGTAGAAACAAGGTTTCACCATTTTGGCCAGGCTGGTCTCAAACTCCTGACCTAAGGTGATCTGTCTGCCTTGGCCTCCCAAAGTGCTGGGTTACAGGCATGAGCCACTGTGCCCGGCCACTCCATTACTTTTTATGCTGAATATTACTGCATTTCGTGGAGATGCCATAATGTGTCTGTTCATTCATCAGTTGATGGGCATGGGCGTTGTTGCCACCTATTGGCCATGTTACCGCTATGAAGATTCCTGTACACATGTTTGGTGGACTTTGTTTTCCTTTGTCTTGGGTACATACGTGCATAGGAGTAGAACTGCTGAGTCATACATAACTTTTAAGAAAAATTTGTATTGTTTTAATTATTTTTACGTACAGAAAACTCAACAGTGTACATTTCACCCAGTTTAGTGGCAAGCTCTTTAGCCTTGGCCTTTTCGAGCGTGGCGATACGAGCCACAGACTTGGGACCCAGGACACTGCCTCCCCATTGATGGCAGATCTCATTGTAATTGGTCCTGTTAGCTTCCACCAGCTTAGCCAAAGTGCCTTTGTCTTCGCAGTTAACCTGAGTGAAGGTGACAGTGGTGCAGGTCTTCCTGTGGGCTAGATGTCCCAGTCTTGCCTTCTCCTTGATAATGCAGTAAGGGACCCCCATTTGATGACACAGAGCAGGCAGGAAGACAGCCAGCTGGAAGAAGGCATTAGCCGGAGTGTATTTTGACCAAAAGCGGTACATTGCAAAGCTAGCTTGGTAGAGACAGTCATGTATAACTCTATGCTGAACTTTAAAAAAATACTTTTTTTTTTTAGATAGGATCTCACTCTGTCACCCAGACTGGAGTGCAGTGGCATGATCTCAGCTCATTGCAACCTCCACCTACCAGGTTCCGGTGACTCTCCCACCTCGGCCTCCAGAGTAGCTGGGACTACAGGCATGCACCACCACACCCGGCTAATTGTACTTTTTTGGTAGAGATGGTGTTTCACCATGTTGGCCAGTCTGGTCTTGAACTCCTGACCTCAGGTGATCCATCCACATCAGCTTCCCAAAGTGCTGGGTTACAGGCGTGAACCACCATGCCTGGCCTGACTGACTGTTAAATACTAAAGCAGTCTTGCATTCCCAGGAAAATCTTGACTCGGTCGCTAGGTATTATTCTGTTTACTACTGCTAGAATTGATATATTAGTATTTTATTGATCAGTTTTACATCTAAGTTCATGAAGGTTATTTGACCTGTATTTTCCTGATGTGGTATTGTCCTTGGTCTTGGCGTCGCAGTGATGTCAATTATAAAATGAGGTGGGAAGCCTTCCCTCCTCCTCTTCTTCCTGAGAGAGACTGCAGACTTGCTGCTCTTTCCTCTTTATATGTTGGTAGAATTCTCAGTGAAATCATCTGGGCCTGAATATTTCTTTTTGCAAGGTCATACAAAATTCATATTTATAGATTTATATTCTAAAACTTTATTTTTAGGTATTAAAAATAACAACTTTTTTTTTTCTTTGAGACAAAGTTTTGCTCTTGTCACCCAGGCTAGAGTACAGTGGCAAGATCTCAGCTCACTGCAACCTTTGCCTCCCCAGTTCAAGTTATTCTCCTGCCTCAGCCTCCCTAGTAGCTGGGAATACAGATATGTGCTACCATGCCTGGCTAATGTTTTGTATTTTTAGTAGAGACAGGTTTCACCATGTTGGCCAAGCTGGTCTCAAGCTCTTAACCTCAAGTGGTCCACCTGCCTCAGCCTCCCAAAGTGCTGGGATTGCAGGCATGGGCCACCATGCCCGGCCAGAAAGAACACTGTAATCTGAGAACATTTTCAGCCGAGCAGTCATCACATCATAAGACACCTCATGACTCTGCCTTGCTACTAACGCTAGTGTTCCTTTTTCTTTTCTTTTTTAAGACAGTGTTCACCGCTTGTTGTCCAGGCTGGAGTGCAATGGTGCAATATTGGCTCACCGCAACCTCCACCTCCCGGGTTCAAGCGATTCTCCTGCCTCAGCCTCCCAAGTAGCTGGGATTACAGGCATGTGCCACCACACCCAGCTAATTTTTATATTTTTAGTAGAGACAGGATTTCTCCATGTTTCTCTTTTGTCTGGGCCACCAACATGCCATCCAGACTGAGGAAGACCTAGAAACTTCGGGGCCACATAAGCCACAGCCATGGCCGCATCAGCAAGCCCCAGAGCACCCGGAGGCTGCGGTAATGCTGGTGGTATATGCCTCACACCACAGGATCAACTTCGACAAATACCACCCAGGTTACTTTGGGAAAGTTGGAATGAGGCATTATCACTTAACGAGGAACCAAAGCTTCTGCCCAACTGTCAACCTGGACAAATTGTGGACTTTCGTCAGTGAGAAGACACAGGTGAATGCAGCCCCAGTGAGGGGCTGCTCCCATCACTGCTGTGGTGCAATTGGGCTACTACAAAGTTCTGGGAAAGGGAAAGCTCCCAGAGCAGCCTGTCATCTTAAAGGCCAAATTCCTCAGCAGGAGAAGATTGGGGGGAGGGGGGGTGGGGGCTGTGTCCTGGTGGCTTGAAGCCACATGGTGGGAGGTTCATTAAATGCTACTTTAAAAAAAAAAAAAAAAAAAAAAGACAGTTTCGCTCTTGTTGCCCAGGCTAGAGTATAAAGGCGCAATCTTAGCTCACTGCAACCTCCACCTCCTGGGTTCAAGTGACTCTCCTGCCTCAGCCTCCCCAGTAGCTGGAATTACAGGCATAAGCCACTAGGTCCAGCTAATTTTTGTATGTTTAGTAGAGACAGAGTTTCTCCATGTTGGTCAGGCTAGTCTCGAACTCCCGACCTCAGGTGATCCACCCGCCTGAGCCTCCCAAAGCGCTGGGATTACAAGTGTGAGCCACTGCACCCAGCTCTACAGTGTTCCTTTTAACAAACTCATCGATGCTCCTCACTCCTCTGAGCGCCCCCACAGCTGGCACCCCCGGCGCTACCTATAAATGGCCTGCTTGTCCACATCCATCGGGGTCTGAGACTCCACGGGGGGAGGGCTCACTCCTTCTGCATCAGGTTCAGAGCAGTTTGGATCTTGTTCTGTCTTTAACTCTGTTACTACTTGCATCTGTAAAAGGAGGAAGATAATTCTTATTACCAAACACAAACCACTACTAGGTACTCCATGCTCCACAGGAATGCAATCAGAGTGGGGAGCTGCCAGACAGCAGTGTGACTGCTATCCATGGAAAGAATACTGCCAACAAAACAGCTTCCAATTTAATGTGCTTTAAGGCAGATAAAGGTCAAATTTCCAAACTGCCTAAGAACTGAGATAACCAATGTCTGTGAAATACTCACTATTTTTAAAATAACACTGACGATGCCCTACTGAAGGGAACCGCCACATGCACTCTTACTCTTCCATCTATCGCTATATATCCTCACGCTTAATAATATGACAGCCAGAGAAGCATCAACAAATAGTCTAAGGTCTTCTCACCATGTCACAGAAACAACTTAACTCCATATGCTACATATTTGTGACAGGGCTGAGCTTCTCCCATATCTACCCTCAAACGTCAGCCAACATAGCCATAAAAATTTCACTGCATTTAGAAAGGAAAAGATCAGCTGTGTTTACTTAAAGCCTTAAAAGACACTATCATTTAAACTGCTTTAAACAAGTGATGCCTTTGTCATTTAGGTAAAAAGTATTTAAATCATTAAAAAAAATCAGTTTGCAAAAACAAAATTTTGTGGCAATAAGCTCTAGTTATCTATGAGCAATAGATTAGACTGTCCTGACCTCAGCTTCCTCAGGACCAGGACTGGGCCATCTCTCCCACGGTGGATTTGGCCATGCTTCTGTCCCTTGAGGAAGCAGCCTGGGGCAGTGGGGGGGGGCCATCCCCACCGACCAAACAGACTGGGGCCTGCCATGAATGCCCACCCCCACAGGACGCCTCTCACACCCTCCAGCCCTGTGCTCTCTTCCCTCCAACTTCTTGTTTTTGGAGTAAGATAACTTCTATTCTGCTGCCTTTAAATGGGACAACACACTAGGAAAACTGCTTTTCTTTCTCTTAAAAAAAATACAAGCAAGGAAGCCTAAGTGGACGCAGTATTTCTATAAGGTGATCTGCTAGCATGTATAAAAAGCCTTAAAGAGGCCATGAGCAGTGGCTCACGCCTGTAGTCCCAGCACTTTGGGAGGCTGAGGACGGCGGATCATGAGGTCAAGAGATTGAGACCATCCTGGCCAACATGGTGCCACCCCGTCTCTACTAAAAATACAAAAATTAGCTGAGCGTGGTGGCATGTGCCTATAGGCCAAGCTACTTGGGAGGCTGAGGCAGGAGAATCACTTGAACCTGGGAGGCGGAGGTTGCAGTGAGCCAAGATCATGCCACTGCACTCCAGCCTGGCGAAAGAGTGAGACTCCAGCTCAAAAAAAAAAAAAAAAAAAAAGGCTGGGTGCGGTGGCTCATACCTGTATTTCAGCACTTTGGGAGGCCAAAGCAGGCAGATCATGAGGTCAAGAGATCGAGACCATCCTGGCCAACATAGTAAAACCCCATCTCTACTAAAAATATGCAAAAATTAGCTGGGCATGGTGGTATACGCCTGTAGTCCCAGCTATTCAGGAGGCTGAGGCAGGAAAATTGCTTGAAACCAGGAAGCAGAGATTGCAGTGAGCCAAGACCACGCCACTGCACTATAGCCTGGGTGACAGTGCGAGACTCCATTTCAAAAAATAATAATAATAATGACCAGGCACGGTGGCTCACGCCTGCAATCCCAGCACTTTGGGAGGCTGAGGTGGGCGGATCACCTGAGGTCAGGAGTCCGAGATCAGTGTGGGCAACATGGTAAAACCCCATCTCTACTAAAAACACAAAAAAATTAGCCGGGCATGGTGGCATACACCTGTAATCCCAGCTACTCAGGAGGCTGAGACAGGAGAATCGCTTGAACCTGGGAGATAGAGGTTGAAGGAAGCTGAGATTGTGCCACTGCACACCAGCCAGGGTAACAGAGCAAAACTCTGTCTCAAAATAAATAAATAATAAAAAATTAAATAAATAAATAAAAGCCTCAAAAGATTCATTTCAGTATTTCAAAAAAAAATGATTATGAAAAGAGAGAACCCTAAATGTGTTCAACCTTGGAAAAATGGCAAAATAATTATGATATATCTATGCTGTAGATCTATTTCCATGCTTATTTAAAACAGTGCTGATAAAACACTTCCCAGGCCCTGCGGAAGCACTCGGGCATGAAAATGGCAGCACTCCCAGTGTCATCTGCACCTGGCTCAGCTGCCTGGGAGGAGGTGGCCAGTAGCAAGCACTGCTGTCCCAGGCTGTCAGAGGCAATCACCGTGCACAGGAGGCAGCGGTGGGGTCAGAGCAAAGACCAGGCAGGCAGGAGGGAGAAGAATGATGGGAACAGTGAATACTGTGCCCCATGGCAGGCAGAGAGCTGCCCAAGGCATGCCAGGAAGAGATGCTGGGGATGGCCTGGGGTCCAGAGGGGCTGCCTGATTCGGACCACAGGGCAGCTCAGTCTTTGCATGAAACCCACAGGAATCCACAGGGAGTCACTGGAGAGCTCAGGAGGGATATCATTAGATTTGCATTTTAGAAAAAAAAAAAGATCAATTGGAAATACCAAAGGACTAAGGACTTCTAGGCTAAGGAAGCAGGGTGACTACACAGAATTTCTCTCCTTTAATTGCTATACAAAGCAAAAATACTACCACCACCAAAAATCTGCAACAGGCACTGAACAAGGACTTGTTGGTAAAATCAACCACCAGGAAAACGGGTCCTAGCGCCCCAGCTTCTAATCCCTCCTCAGAACTCATCAACATGGCTCCGGTGAGTCACCTGGAGTCTGGCCCTTGCCATCGAAGTCCTCGAGATGGGGAGGAGAGCCGAGGGGGCACTGCACTGACCCTGCCTGCTGGGCAGGAAAGTAAAGGGCAGGGCCAAATCCCTTCACTGGCTCCAGAGTCAGTGGGATGATGAGACAAGTGCCAGTGGGCTCAGAACGCAGTGTTTGGTTTTCGTTTTTGTTTTTTCCAGGTATGTCTTAGGAGCGCGAAAATGGAGAACACAGTGTTTAGCAAGATCGAAGGCCAAGAAAGACAGCAAGGGCCTCAGCCAAGCCTCAATCCTCTTGCTCCTCAATTCATTCAGGTCACAGAACACAAAACACTCAGATATTCAAAAGCACAAAACACTATAGCTCCCAGGAAAACAAAGTCTCATCTATAGTGGGAGGGCAATGGCGAGCTGCCTGTGTACGGCACAACCATCCAGCATGAGCAAGGCACAAACATGGAGCGCGGGAACCTTGCAAATCCATCGCTGGGACAGCCCCTCTCATGCCTACCAGGGAGACAAAGCCACAGGATTCCCATTCAAAGGCTGATCCAGTTAGAGACTCAGAAGAGCCACCAGTCAACATGGGAATCTGTCATCATGAAAATCAGCCACGTTTTCTTTCAAAGTAACAATGCTAATTAACACTGACATTAACACTGACAGTAAATTCCCAAGAAACTGTCATGACTTAGGGAAGTCAAGAGTCCTGGCAATTTCAGTATCAGTTAAGGAAATAATGTTAATTATTCTATGGCATATTTCTCTGAACACAAACATACAATAAATGCGTAATACACTAATGCTGAACATGCAATCTCATGGCAATTGAATTATAAGTATACAAAGCAATGTCCATGCTTGAGTGTCAGGTTGATTTGTAGCCAGAATGCAGAATCAAGTTCAAGCTCACCTGTTGCCCATCTTGATAGCTGTCTATACTTAATGTCTGTGTAGCCATCATGGTTCACCAGAGTTCTATAAGACATCAAATCATCTTGAGTGAAAAGCGAATGGTGTCTGGAGAACAAAACCAGAATAACATCAGTTAATAGTCGTAGAGCATTTTTTTTGGTTTTGTTTTGTTTCCTTCATTCCACAACATCCGATTTTTAAAAATTCATATTTTTACACAGAGAGAAAAAAGTTAGCCTAAGCAGTATGTGATAAGCCAAATCCTACTTAGCAGCCCTTCACTGACATAGCACTTATTTTCCTGTGCTGGGCCCTGACTTGCTATTACATTTTCAGCCAGTCGTTCATTGCCCAACGAACATCAAATCAATGCCTGCACATGCCAGGCAGTGTGCTGGGCCCAAGGGGCAGCAGTGAGCATGACAGCCAGGGCCTCAGCCCTCCTGGAACAAACCAGCCAAGGAGGAGACACAAGGCACAGGGCCCAGGCTGGGCAGAGGGTGAAGTGAGAGGGTGCCTGGGCTGCCTTCCAGGGCCGTGTGGTCAGAGCAGGCCTCCCTGAGAAGATGCTATTTCGGACGAGACTCGAGAGGCACGCGGAGATCAGGGTGTTTAGTGTTTGAAAGAGACGAGCGGCTAACACAGAGGCCTAGGACAGGGATGGAAAAGAGGTGCTCTGGGAGACTGAGGCGGGCATGCTTGTAAACACGTGCACATCATACAGATAGGTAAGCAGGAGCACACTTGCTTAATGACAACAGAAAACCACAAAATGCCACTGATGAGCAGGAAGGATGGAGCAGGAACATGAGCAGCACCTACAGAGCGGGGGAGGGCAGCCAGGCTGGACCACAGCCGGCACGGCCTCGCCACTGCTGGTGCAGGTCACAGACATTCAGAGTCTGGGCCGCCCTGAGAAGGTCATGTAGAGGTCAAGGGCAGTCGTGCCACTTGTTCTGAATTAGCAAGAACATCAAGGAAAGCAGCACTTTAGGAGACCGTGTGAAACGGAAAGAAGTCCTGTCCAAGCCTTGCAGGATGCCAGACTACCACCCTATCCTGAGTGAGATGGTTAAAAGGAACTCTGAGTCGGGTGCTCACAGCAGCAGCAGTGGCAGCAGCCAGGCCACCTCCTGAGCACAGGAGCCATCCTAGCGCCATGTGCCCTCACAACACCTGAAGGAGGCACTGCTGTGATGCCACTTACACCTGAGAAGCCTGAGCAATGTGGCCACAGCCACTGAGATGGCCAGAGGCTGAGCTAGGACTCGCCCTTAAAAGCATCATTTTGGAGCCATCAAGGGGGCACAGTCAATGGGTAAAAGGGAGGGAGCAAAGTCATGGGTACAAGGGAGGGGGCACAGTCAATAAGTACAAGGGAGGGGCCCAGTGAATGTGCATGAGATAGGGTACAATCAGTGGGTTCAAGAGAAGGGGCACAGTCAACACGAGCAGCTTCTGTGGCCTCGGAGGGGAGAGCATGCTGGGACATTTTAGGTTTGAGATGCTTCTCAGACACCCACATTAAAACTCTGAGTAAGGGAGTCTAGACTCTAAACACAAATTTGGCCATCATCCAAGTATGGTTAGTACGTGTTGGGGGTTGAACTGTGTCCTCCAAAAGATATGTATGTCCAACTGGGCATGGTGGTTCATGCCTGTAATCCCAGCACTTTGAGGCTGACGTGGGAGGATCACTTTAGTCCAGGTTAAGACCAGCCTGGGCAACATAGCAAGACCCTGTCCCTACAATAATAATAATAATAAAAAATCTGCCAGAATGGTGGCTAAAACTTTATTTTTAGATATTTACTGTGATTAAAGCCTTAAGACTTGATGAGACCATCCAGGAAGAGGACAGCCCATGCTAGAAGACAGTCTGCAGTTCATGGAGACAGGGAGACAGGAGGACCCAGCACAGGATGAAGAGCTGCCAGGGGACAGCAAGAGAACCAGGCAATGCCCCCAAAGCCACAGGGAAAAGGAGGACCAAGGACGTGGGAGTGCCAGCCACGGCAAGGACAGCTGAGCGCCAAGGAAGCGGGGGCTGAGCCTGCTGCCGATGAGCAGGAGAGCCTGCAGGGAGGAGGCTGTGGCGGAGCACTCCCACGGCCCAGGGCAATCCTATCGACACAGGTACACCCTGCAACACGGCAGGAGAGCCACTGGTAACAGAAAAGGCTGGAAAGCACTTTCAACAGAAGCCTGGTAAAACAGATAATGATAACCCGTGAAATGGAATACGTGCAATTAAAATATGAGGAAACAGGCAGAGAGCCGTGGCTTATGCCTGTAATCCTAGCACTTTGAGAGGCTGAGGCGGGCAGATCATGAGGTCAGGAGATCAAGACCATCCTGGTCAACAGAGTGAAACCCAAGCTCTACAAAAAATTAGCCGGGAGTGGTGGCGCGCACCTATAGTCCCAGCTACTCGGAAGGCTGAGGCAGAAGAATTGCTTGAACCCAGAAGGCAGAGGCTGCAGTGAGCCAAGATTGCACCACTGTACTCCAGCCTGGGTGACAGAGTGAGACTCTGTCTCAAAATTTGAAAAAAAATTTAAAAAAATAAAAAAATTTAAAAATATATATATATATATGTGGAAACACTTCATAAATTCTTCCCCAAGACTCCCGTTTTGACAGAGACCCACACATCTGCAAACTTGTCACTGAATCTCTCCTAACAGGCCTCTGCCTTGACCATAACCTGGCTCTCCTCCAAATCCCTGCTTTCTCTCCAATTTCACTTCCATCTGCTCCCCTTCGCCACAAGGAGTGGCTCCATTCAGTGCCATCACCTCACACCTTGATGGTGGTAGTAGTCTCCTACCTGGTTGTATGAGCCTCTAGTCTTGCCCTCTACCAGTCCATTCTCCATGCTTTCTTTCTCCTTTTTATTTTTTTGAGATGGCGTCTTGCTCTGTCTCCAGGCTGGAGTGCAGTGGCACAATCTCAGCTCACTGCAACATTTATCTCCCAGGTTCAAACAATTCTCCTGCTTTATCCTCCTGAGTAGCTAGGACTACAGGCATGTGCCACCACACCCACCTAATTTTTGTATTTTAGCAGAGACAGGGTTTCACCATGTTGGCCAGGATGGTCTCAATCTCCTGACCTTGTGATCTACCTCACCCACCTTAGCCTCCCAAAGTGCTGGGATTACAGGTGTGAGCCACTGCACCTGGCCTTTTCTCCTTTTTTTTAGAGACAGGGTCTTGTTCTGCCAGCTAGGCTGGACTGCAGTGCAACTGTAGCTCACTACAGCCCCAACTTCCTGAGCTCAAGGGATGTTCGTACCCCAGCCTCCCAAATAGCAGGAACTACAGGCCCACACCACAATGCTGGCTAACTTTTTTTATTTTTTGTAGAGAAGAAGTCTCGCTATATTGCTCAGGCTGGTCTTGAATTCCTGGGCTTGAGCAATTATCCTGCTTCAGCAACCCAAAATGGTGGGATTACAGGTGTAATATGGTCTGGCTGTGTCCCCAACCAATGCTCATCTTGAATTCCCACGTGTTGTGGGAGGGACCCAGTAAGAGGTAATTGAATCATGGGGGGCAGGTCTTTCCCATGCTGCTTTCATGATAGTGAATGAGTCTCACATGAGACTTGATAGTTTTAAAAAGAGGCATTCCCCTGCACACAAGCTCCTCTCTTTGCCTGCTGCCATCCATGTAAGACATAACTTGCTCTTCCTTGCCTTCCACCATGATTGTGAGGCTTCCCCAGCCATGTGGAACTGTGAATCCATTAGACCTCTTTCTTTTGAAAACTGCCCAGTCTTGGGTATGTCTTTATCAGCAGCATGAAAATGGACTAACAAAGTAAACTGGTACCAGGAGTGTGGTACTGCTGAAAAGACACCTGAAAATGTAGAGGCAACTTTGGAACTGGGTAACAGGTAGAGGCTAGAACAGTTTGGAGGGCTCAGAAGAAGACAGGAAAATGAGGGAAAGTTCGGAACTTCCTAGAAACTTGCTGAATGGCTTTGACAAAAATGCTGATAACAATATGGACAATAAAGTCCAGGCTGAGGTGCTCTCACATGGAGACGAGGAACTTGTTGGGAACTGGAGCAAAGGTGACTCTTGTTATGTTTCAGCAAAGAGACTGGCAGCATTTTGCCCCTGCCCTAGAGATTTGTGGAGGTCTGAACTTGAGAGATGATTTAGGGTATCTGGTGGAAATTCCTAAGCATCAAAGCATTCAAGAGGTGACTTGGGTGCTGTTGAAAGCATTTGGCTTTATAAAGGAAGCAGAGCATGAAAGTTTGGAAAATTTGTAGCCTGACAATGTGATGGAAAAGAAAATCCCATTTTCTGAGGAGAAATTCAAGCTGGCTGCAGAAATCTGCATAAGTAACAAGGAGCCAAATGTTAATTCCCAAGACAATGGGGAAATGTCGGAAGTCCTCACAGCAGCCCCTCCTGTCACAGGCCCAGAGGCCTAGGAGGAAAAACTGGTTTTGTGGGCCAGGCCCAGTGTCCCCATGCTGTGTGCTGCCTAGGGACTTGGCGTCCTATGTCCCAGCTGCTCCAGCCACAGCTGAAAATGTAGAGCTTGGGCTATGGCTTCAGAGGATGCAAGTCTCAAGCCTTGGCAGCTTCCATGTGGTATTGGGCCTGAGAGTACACAGAAGTCAAGAACTGAAGTTTGGGAACCTCCACCTAGATTTCAGGAGATGTACGGAAATGCCTGGATGTCCAGGCAGATGCTGACTGCAAGGGTAGGGTCCTCATGGAGAACCTCTGCTATGACTGTATAGAAAGAAAATGTGGGGCTGGAGGCCTCACAGAGAGTCCCTACTGGGGTACTACCTTGTGGAGCTGTGAGAAGAGAGCCACCATCCTCCAGACTCCAGAATGGTAGATCTGACAGCTTGTACCGTGCACCTGGAAAAGCTGCACACACTAAAGGCCAGCCTGTGAAAGTAGCCAGGAGGGAAACTGTATCCTGCAAAGCCAAAGGAACAGAGTTGCCCAAGACATGGGAACCTATCTCTTACATCGGTGTGACCTGGATGTGAGACAGGGAGTCACAAGAGATCATTTTGGAGCTTTAAGATTTGACCGCCCTGCTGGATTTCAGACTTGCGTGGGGCCTGT